TTTTTTTGCCATGATTTCCACGATTAAGAGTAAAATTTAGTGTTGCTGTATTTAATTGGGAGTGGGGATCTTTCCATCGTTTAAAAGGGCATGGAAAATATACTTTGTTTCAGCTGTTAATTTTTTTGGCTGTGCTGGAACTGTAAACTCTGTTTCTTGCACAGCAGCTCTGGTTTCCGTGCATATTTTTAGTCCGTTTGAGATGAAAACCAAAAAAATCTATTGTTCACAGTTACCCATCTATGGACCATTATGATGCTCAGAATTTCTTTGTGTAGATCCAAGTTTCCTTGCAGGGATCAAAATTCTGCTCTGCCTGTCGTATGGTATCCTAACACTGTTTATTTGAATATATTGTATATTGTAGGAGAGTAAATCCAGTCCCAATTACTCCATAAAGACTAGGAGTGTAAATAATCACACTCTTTATTAAAAAGTAGATATCAGAATAAAATACATAATTTGGGTTTTTTACATGCTTTAGTCATTAATAATCAAAAGATATTTCAGACATAAATGGAAAATTGTGATAAATACAATACTGAGTACTATACTTATTCTAATTAATTTTCATAAGCACTGATGTTACTATTAGATAATGACTTCTAAGCTGTATTATCACTAGAAGACAAAAAAGGCAAAAGATAAATTCAGGATTAATTATCTCTTCTTCTTAAGCTTTAAATAAGGAAAAAAAGGTCCTCACAATGTTATTTCCTTTTTTCTTTTTTTTAGCAGAATTACTTTATAAAGTCCTAGCTAAGTCTTAGGTATCATCATTTCTAGCCACACTGACAAGAGTATTGAAATACTAAATAGACTTGTAGCACTTAAAAACAGCTATATGATTTGTAATAATTTTGTGATTTTTATTTTTCTTCATCTTCTGTACTACACTGGTCATTCAGTGCAGTTCCTAAGATCACCATACAAATTTAGTTTATAATAGCTTGAACAGTTTAAATCAATTCTCAAAATTAATCAGTTTAAAATTTTGACCTTTTCATTTACTAACCTTATATTAGTGACTGAATTGATTATTTCACTAACTTACTTGACTATATTAAGACAGGTGGTATTTGTTTACCAGCTCCTGGATTTTCCTTTTTCCATGTATTAGAATTTCTATATATGGCATAGGGAATATAGTCAATAATATTTTAATAACTTTGTATGGTGAAAGATGATTACTAGACTTATTGTGGTGATCAATTCATAATGTAGATAAATGTCAAATCACTATGTTGTATACCTGAAACAAATATAATATTGTATGTTGACTATACTTTAATAAAAAAATTCTATAAATCTTATTTGGGTAAATGGATGTATGAAGATCTCAGAACTCTTAGATACTTATTGGCAGAACTTAGGTCCGTAAAGAAAGCAATTACAGAGGATTTTCTTCTGATGAGCTGGTAAGTTTAATAAAAATTATTTTGAGATTACCTATACATTCATATTCACTGTATCCTACATAAGCCAGCAGGTGGCAAACTTGAGATTTTTTATACTATTGCTCCTATTGAGGAAGTACAAGTATTGAACCATATATCTATCAATGGATCTCATGAATAGCTTTTTTATTGTACTATAACATAAGAAAAATTAAACCCTCTAATTGCAGAGCCACTGGGGTTTAGATACCAATGTATCAATACTTTATTTGTGTTTCTCTTGATTTATTGTTTTATCCTGTAATTCTTTCTCTAACAAATAATTTTGAGAGGTAGAGGATGCCAATTGAGCCCCCCCCCTTTTTTTTTGCCATGATTTCCACGATTAAGAGTGAAATTTAGTGTTGCTGTATTTAATTGGGAGTGGGGATCTTTCCATCATTTAAAACTGCATGGAAAATATACTTTTTCTCCCAGAACAAGTAATGTAAGATATTTTTGAAAGTCCTAACAACATTGATCTTCATGTTGTTAAATACAAACAGTAACTTGTTCATGGTAACGATTGTTTTTATTTTATTCCTATAAATATTTCTGTTTTGGTGTGACTCATTGGTAGTCATTTATAAGTGATGATGGATTTAATTTCTTATTATTTTAAATTTTTAGTGGAATATAGGTGATTTACAAAATTTTGTCAGTTTCAGGTGTACAGCAAAGTGAATCAGTTATACATATACTTATATTCACTCTTTTTTAGATTCTTTTAGTATTGAGTAGAGTTCCCTGTGCTATACATTAGGTCCTTATTAGTTATCTGTTTTATATATAGTAGTGTGTATATGTCAATCCCAATCTTCCAATTTATCCCTCCCTCTCCCCACCCCTGGTAACCATAAGTTTGTTTTCTACATCTGTAAATCTATTCTGTTTTGGAGATAAGTTCATTTGTACCCTTTTTTTAGATTCCACATATGTGATATCATACATGTATATTTGTTTTTCAAAAAATGAAGATTGGTTATAGTCAAGCATATGATTAGGCTTTGGGTTTATAAGAAAACACATTTCTAGCCATTGCATTCAGAGATGAAAGCTCAATCATAATAATTTACTCATTTCTTTCTCTCTGGGAAATTCATCCATTGTTAACACTACCTCTAAAAATTAATTTTCCATCCTGTAAGTTACAGTCCTTTTTATATGGCTGCATTAACCAATCTATTATAACACTTACTATAACTTTCTCTTCCAATGGGGAAGAATATTAAAAAAAAAAAAAAGGAAAGCAGTGACTAAAGGCAAACAAAAAGGCCACATAGTTACTCCATTATTTCTACATATAAATTGGATCATTTAAATGACTTTTACAAGATTTAAATAAAATAAACTATCCTTCAGTAAAGCCAAAAACTATATGAAGGATTCTAGTGATTGGCTCTTTGGTAGACTGAGTTTTCAAGAAGTGGAAGGTGAATTCTCTAATTATTGAAAATAAACGTTTGAAGTTTTCTTCAAACATCACAGTAGCTGAAGACTCTTTAAGACTTATTAAGACTCTAATAATTCATAATTCTTCCTTCCTTGCTTTTTTTTAAGGGAAGAAGACTCAATTTTTCTAAAATGTGGAATATAAATACATCAAAAGGAAAATAAATTATACTGTACATTTGAATTTAAACTCTGAAAGAAGCTCTGAAACTTAAGAAAACGAAAACGGGCACATGATATAGATTGTATATCATTCCACTTTAGTGTTCTCAGCACTGGGGCCTTAAGAAAAAAAAAAGAAGCTTCTAATCAGAGGAAACTGCCCTGCTCTAGTCAGCATGCATTCAGAGGTCAAGATGCCCTGGTCTTGTGCAATGTGTTCTAACTCAATCCTCCTTTCTTCTGTTTTCCTTCAATCCATCTCCAAGTTCCCCAGAAACCAGTTTTTGAGAAAGATGACCCATAAACATCTTCTCATCCTCCCCACTCCCGAGATCTTCCTGATGGAATACCTTGGGATTTTTCATGAAGTAAAATCAGGGACATGAAACTGGCCCCAGACTCAGTGATACCCAGACTTCTAGAGTCCCACGTGCATCAGACTACAACACAAAAATACCTGAGCCATAGTTGGCCCTTGTTCTAAGGATTCTGATGAGGTCAAACTGTCATAAACAGTTGTGCAGTGAGCCAGATTTTTGTTTTTAATAATGCCCTTTCCAATGTAGTACTGAAATATACACATCTCTTGAATATGAGTGAGAACACGCAGTCCCAGGCATGTGGTCTGGTGATGCTACCTAGAACACGCATAGCTGCGCTGCTAGGGGAGAGCTGGGGAGGAACCGCGGGCACCTCCCCCGCAGGGGTGAGGCCCCAGCCAACTGCATCTTCCCAACCTTCAGACATGGAAGGTGACAGGTTGTGACAGCAGGGAGTGGCCAACTCCTTAAAGCAGGCTTGAGTGTAACTCTTCTTGAGAGAGGAGTTCCTTGGTGAGTGTTCTTTGGAGTCCTAGTGAATTTAGGAGTCTGTATTTCCTCCCTCCCCTGTGTTCTCTCTGCCTTTCTTTACACACTGTGCTCCCACGTCACCCTGTGTACACGCAGAAGAAAGTTTTATACAGAATGAGCCCCGTGTTGACGTAGGCATCCCCTCCCCTCCCATCTGGACAGAAGCCCAGAAGGCAGCGAGAGGGGGGTTGGGGGAATGCGAAGGTAGGGATCGCTTGGATCCCTGTGGTAAGCGTCCCGAGGCGGGGCCGATCAAGGTCCAGACTAGAGTATTGGTTCTGGACCCACAAATAGATCAAGCTTTTCCCTCCTCCATCACCCTCTTAAATCCCAATGAGGTCATTGCAATGAGAGAGAATCAGATCAAGAGACAAGAGGAGGAAGAGGACGACGACGAGGGAGAAGAAACCCAGACGGAAAAAGGCCATCAGACAAGGTCGCTTTTTCTGGCGACACAGAAACTGTGCGGAGTGTGGTGCTGAATCTCATCTGCCCGCTCAGCCTGGGGACCAAGGGACTCGTAGAAGCACTTTGTGTTACCACGAAAACAAAGGAAAGGAGACGAGAGGGAGAGAGAAGCTCTGAGCAGTTCCGCCTTGGATCTGGGGAAGCAAAGCTCATCTACTTGGCAAGGAAAGAAAGGGGAGCCTGAAAGGGTTTGGGAGGCTGAGGAGGGAGCGGGATTTCCCTGCGGAGAGTTGGGACGCGGCAGAACTCTGGACAGCGCCTCCCGAGCCGGATTCCAGGCTCGGGGCTCCGGAGCTCCGTGGCTCCTCCAGGGTTCCAGCTCCTTGTTGAAAGCCCTTTCTACCGGTGTGCTCTCCTCTCCTGGACTCCGACCACCGAACCGAACCGGGAAAATCCTTCTACGATCCCTGTCCGAACGTGCCAGGGGATGGAGCGACTCTGCCTCTGACCCGGTCAGGGAAGAGGGTCTCCAGTTCTGGAAATCCAGTCCTTGTGGATAATGCTTCGCCGGTGAAGAAAGAAAAGTTTTGGGGTCTGGTAGGGGGCAGAAGGGGTAAGGAGGATAGTGGAAGAAAGAAGGTGGATGGTTGGCTTCTCTCTCTGATCTGGAAGGAATGATGACCGAGGAAGGATGTGCACCAGCGGCCAGATTATTGGGAGCCTCTTGGTTCTCTCTGTGCTGGAGATAGGGCTGGGGGTGTCCAGCGTGGCCGTAGGAGCGGTCAGCTTCAGCCTGGCCCTCCGAGAGCACAAGCCGCAGCTTGGAGACTCGTCCCCGGTATGGAGCGGGGTGTGTGTACGTTGAGCCATTTCACTCTCTCTTTACCTCTTTACGGTGATGGTCAGTGTGTGTGCGTTAGTCACTCCCTCCCTGGGGAAGAAAATTATAAATCTCCTCCGGCTTGCATGTAGGTTCATGTTGGCAGGCTATACTTTATGTTGTCCTTTATTTATTAGTGTGTTTCCTTTTTTCTTACCTTGACTTGATACCAAATTAAATGGCTTTGTTTAAAGTTGGGGGGAGGGCAGTTTCCACCGGCTGAGTCTGCAAAAGCCTGCGGAGTGGTGCTGATTGGGGCATCACACCTGTCAAGGGCAGACTCACTTAATTTCTTTTACAAGGAAAATCAAAATGAAAGTGTCATATCATTTTCTTATACCAGGAACAAGCCAGGGTAGAATTGTGCGTTTATTTCTGGATAACAGTGCCCAAAGTACACTAAAGGCAACACCAGTATCACAAAAGGAGAAATGGGGTGTGAGTGTGAAAGGAGCATTTTATCCCAGAAAACACTGCTCTTAATTTTCCCTTGTTAGCGTCTATAGAACTCTTTTGTAAGTTCTAGGCAATAAGGTAAACAACAGATTATGATATGTAACATTCTAATTGAAGAATAACTCAGCTTAAAGAGTACCTAATGCTCAGAGAAAATGTCATAACTTTCTCTAGGTCAGAGGGCAGACCCAGTGAGCTTCTTGTTTATTTACTTTGGGTGAATCTCCAGGAAAGCTTTGGAGACCCATTCCTTCCACCAAGGATCAATAAAATAACTCAGCACTATTCCTAGTGTGAGCCTAATTGTGAAAATCAGCTTTTCTTCTCCTTTAAGTTATATAGCTGCTATATCCACATCCTTCTGGGTCTCTGGCTTGATTCTGTTTTCTCAGATAGTTTAATAGGATGTTATTCTGTCACAGATAATCAGTGAGTATAATTAACAGTCATGGCTTAGTCATGCTCTAGGTCACCGAGGAAAAAATTATTTATGAGTTAAAGAATAATTCTGAAGCAATTTACTTTTGAGAGAAGTTCTAGCATTCTTAAAACTGGCATACTTGTGCTTTAGAAAATTAGTTTTTATATTTTAACTTTTCAGAGTGAAGTGTTTTTAAATTACAGAAGTTATAAGAAGAAAGAAAAATGGTGTTCATCTCTAACATGGAATTTTTCTAGGAATCCTTGTTCTGAATTCAATAAGTTACCACCAACCTCAAATAATTACCTTTTTCTTTATTATGTAATTTTATCAATGTGTATTTTAAATTTAAGTATGAAAGACTAAAAGGCAAATCTTCAACCTAGTAATTTTCCATCTTATATGCAGTAGTGATTATTTTGAGATTTGTAGTATTATTACTTTATTATTATTATTATTTAAATAGAAATTATTAGACTTTAAAACTTCTATCAGACAACTGTCAAAATTAACTGTAATGTCAACATTTAAATCACGGGAAGAAAATGTGATCTTCTGGTGGCTTATGAGGAAGAAGCCTCAAATACTCTTCAAATCAATTCCCCTCTGAAATTCAAGAAACTGAGTAAATAAATGTAGGTTGTATCTAAATAGCATTAAAGTATCCAGTTTACCTTCAAGAATAAAAAAAAGTGGTTACATTTGCTTAGTGTCAAGTAAGAAAAATAATTAAATGATTTTTTCCTTTCTTTCCCAACTATTTACCATTATCTAGGTGAGTCGACATATGTGTATGTACAGAAAATGAAAATTCTGAAGCAGCTCAGTGAAAAGCAAATAAAATAATAATACAGTCATTATCATAAGGAATTATTTCCAGTTTTAACACTTTGTTTCCTTAGAGTAACCAAAATTCACCTAGGATTCTCAAATAATAGTTTCAAATTCTATTGTCTGATTCAGTTAAAAAAAAAAAATCCATATGATTGAATGAATGGATTTAAAACTTGAGTGCCCATAGATTTGGTCACTTTTATTAACTCAACATAAAAAATCAAATTTGTGAAGCTATAAATATCCAAATTTGATCTTTGTTTATCACATTATAGGCATGCTAAATTGATTTTTAAAATAATTTTTCAGAGGTCATTTATAATACAGACTGAATTCTCTCTTAATTCTGGCGATGATGAATTCATATAACCAGTATTTATAGAGGGCTTACCATATGCAAGGTGTTTTACTATTTAACACAAAGCCTATTAAGGTGAATCAGAATGCCTAGCAGAGGAAACAAGATGGGTATGTCACAAACTTTTATCAGTAGTGAGAAATTAGTTTGACTTCAGGGAGTTACAGGAGTAGATAAAGGGGAGAGAGGAAATACCCATGGGGGAACTATTATTTTTCTCTTGATCTTTAAAGTTTATTGAAACTTGGAATTAATGTATCACAGTGTTAAGTAATGTATCACAGTATGAAATCTGGAGTTTGCCTGGGTACAAATCGCAGCTCAGCCATTAGCCATTTACTGTCTGGATGACTAGCCAAAGTTTCCTCATACTCTGTAAAATAGGGTTGCTAGAAGTCGCAAATGAAATAATGCTCTTAGTAAAATGCATGGTATGTAGTAAGCACTGAATAAATGCAAACAGCTAGTACTGGGTGCATAGACTAACAGTAAAGGGCATGAGAAAGAGAAACTTTTAGGCAGCAAGGATGAAGACAAAAAACTGGGACAGGATGGGTTGTGTTTCAGGTAGAATAGGCTCTTCTATTTTTCTGGGGCTTACGTGCGTGAGGGAGAGATAAGGATGGAAAGAGTGGAAGGGACCAGACCATGGGAGGCTGCGTGCCAGTCTAAGGCAATAGATTTATTTCCTCACAGTTTTAATATAATAATAATAATAACACCAATTTTTAGTTCCCAAAGAGACTGCAGGAATATGCAGCAGAAAACTAGATTGAAAACTACTAATCTCTTTGGTATTTGGTGAATTTAAAATCTGTGTTATTTATAAACACTGGATGGGATTTTATGTTAATTAACCTTTCAGGTCATAGTGTATAATCAGAGTGTGTTTTGATTGGTGCCATGAAGTTTTTTCAACACAAATATCATTATTGCCAGATTTTGAATTAAATTTTAGAAGCCAATGGAAATAAAAACTGCACTACGAAGGGATTACTTATTATAATGGACCTCAACATCATAAGCTTTTTTCTAGGTCAAATGCACTAAGAGTTCAGGCAACTATTTGATTATTTGGACTTAAATTATTATTGGATATTTTTGGATTATTGGAAAAATTATTGGACCAAAATTTTTTTATTGTATTTTATTGTGATAAGAACACTTAACAAGAGATCTTAGCAAACTTTTAAATGTACAATATGTTATTGTGGACTATAGGTACAATGCTGTGCATCAGATCTCTAGAGCTTATTCATCTGATTAAATGAAATTTTATGCTCCTTGATCCATAACTCCCATTTCCTTCTCCCCACTACCCCCTGGAAGTCACCATTCCACTCTTTGATTATGTAAACTTCACTATTTTACATTCCTTATATAAGATGAATCATGCAGTATTTGTTTGTATGTGATTGGCTTATTTCATTTAGTATAGTGTGCTCAGGTTCATCCATGTTTTCACACATGACATAATTTCCTTCTGACTTTCCTTCAGAATTAAGGCTGAATCGTATTCCATTGAATGTATATACCATATTTTCTTTACATATTCATCTGTTGATGGACATTTAGGTTGTTTCCACATCTTGGCTATTGTGAATAGTGCTGCAATGAACATGAAATGCTAATATATCTTTGAGATCCTGATTTCATTCTTTTGGCTAAATACCCAGAAAAAGGATTGTTGGATCAAATGGTAGTTCCATTTTAAGTTTTTTGAGGAACCTCCATGCCGTTGTCATAGTGGCTACACCATTTATCATTCTCACCAACAGTGTGCTAACGTTCCAATTCATCCACATTCTTGCCAACGCTTTTTAAGTGGCTTAAAAAAAGAAAAAGGGCTTAAAATCCACAAGGTGGATGCTTATACGGACTATCTCCAGTCACTATTTCACAATCAGGCAAAGGGTACGTCCTGGGACCAGTCTAAAAGATGTGGGCAATTAGAAGGAACAATTACTTAACTATAATTTCATAGTGAAAGAAAGCTATAAATGCCTTACAGGATTTTGGCCGCCTCCTGATTCTTTGTTACAGTTTATATAGACACCTCCTTGAGAGCATGAAAGAATACATTATTACTAGATAACAATAAATGAACCATTGAGTAAACTGCTTTGGAAAAGACATAGGCATGGTGCAATATAATTGACGTGTAAGGTATATTGACAGGGAGTTCAATAGAAAGGGCTATGTTTCCAAGCCGCTGTGGGATAGTCATTTTTCTCAGTCTCCAGTGAACAACTAAAAAAATGTACGGAAATATCTACATTAGAGAAGTCATGTAAATATTCAGCTTAAAACCGAATGGGGAAACAGCTGCTGCTGTAAGACACCTCTCTCTTTGTTTTTCTGTTGGAGGTGGAGAGGGTAGAAACCCTGTGATAAAAATATTTGAAAATCAGATAAGTTAGACAATTATCTAAGTTAGGCAAGTCAAACAGGGGAGGTATGGTAACTACTTTTTATACCATAAAACAAAGTCCTCGAAACACATATAAAACCATATGTTACTGTCATAAAGTCAAAATAAAAGTACAAATTAATACTTCTGACAAAGATACTCAATATCTTGGAAATTCGTATGGTTTTGCCCTAACAACCCAAATAGCTTTTGAAGCAATGTTGATTTCATGTTGTACTATTAACAGTTCATCAATGAAATATCTAGATTTCAACAATGACTCTTATAATGTTAATTAGTGATCATGATTTTTAGTGCCAATATTGCAACTCAAGAAGCAATTGAAAGTTCCATTAGTTCATGATCTGTTATTAAATATTGGAAAAAGTTAAGGCAAAAATAAAATATTAGTGGTTAAGTATATCACCTTGGCGGACAGGGTGCCTTGAGCTATTTATCCTATAGAAATAATACTAGACATGATTTATTCATGGTTA